AGAATAAATAGAAGGAGAGAGAGAAAAGAAAAGAGCGAGAAAGGGAGGAGAGGGGGACGCCAGGGGCCAGCCACGCAGCCAGCCACAGAGTGTAGGTAGAGTTTTTCTGCCTGGCCCACAGTCGGGACAAATCTCTCTCACCTGCCAGTCCCACAGCCGCTCAGACCCAACCAAGTAAACACAGAGACTTATATTGCTTACAAACTGTATGGCCGTGGCAGGCTTCTTGCTAACTGTTCTTACAGCTTAAATTAATCCATTTCCATTAATCTATACCTTGCCACATGGCTCGTGGCTTACCGGCATCTTCACATGCTGTTTCTCATCGTGGCGGCTGGCAGTGTCTCTCTCACTCAGCCTTCCACTTCCCAGCTTTATTTTCCTCCTTGTCCCGCCTACACTTCCTGCCTAGCCACTGGCCAATCAGTGATTTATTTATTGACCAATCAGAGCAACACATTTGCCATACAGAACATCCCACAGCAACAGAGTAAGAAGTAAAGCAAGGTATATAGAATAGAAAAAGATAAAAGCCCAGAGGCAAATGGTAGATGGGATAATTTAAGAAAAGCTGGCTAGAAATAAACCAAGCTAAGTCCAGGCATTTATAAGTAAAAATAAGTCCCCCTGTATTTATTTGGGAGCTGGATGACAGGCCCCCAAATATCAAAGAAAAAAAGAACCAACTACAAATAATGAATCCAATTAGTGTTGCCCTCACGTACATGTATATATGTTAGGACTGACTGCCTAGGACTGGGAAATCTGTCAGGGGGTCATCCCTGAAGAAAACAAATTCGCTCTCCTTTAGCAGCTATTGACTGCTTGCAGCTCTTCATCTTGGTGTGCGGCCTTGTGAAATTTTCCTCTGTTCACATTTCCATGTCAGCTGAAACCATGTTGAGAGTGTATGGCTGCAGCTCCCCAGTCACGTCAGGAAGATGCTCACTCTCAGCAGTTTTTCTGATCCTCAGGGTCTTACAGTCTTCGTGCCCTCTCTTCTACAATGATCCCTGAACCTTAGGTGTGGGGTTGTATTGTAGATATTCCAGCCAGGGGTGAGCATCCAACAGTCAGTTCTCTGCCTTTTTTCAGTTGTGGGTCTCTGTCATAACCCCTCTCTGCTGAAAAAAAAATGCTTCATTGGTGAGTGGTGTGAGATACACTCATCTGTGAGTAGGATGCTAAATATTGAAGCTTTATTGATGTAGAAAAGTGGTACTAGTAGATTCCCTTCTAGGGTTATGACTTCTGTAGCCACAGGTTCTTGGCTGGGCTCATAGTAACAGGAATGAGCTACCTCCTACTGAATGGGCCTTAAGTCCAATTAGACAACTGTTTGTTAATCCTCAAACATGAGTGCCACTTTTGCACCATTGGGATATCTTATAAGTTCAGTCGTTGTTTTAGTTCTCAGGTTTGATAGCTGAGTAAGACTGTTAATAATTTTTCTCCCTAGGCAGTTTGCATAGCACCTTCTGATATGTTGAGAGCTAGCCAAAGTGCATCTTCAGCAATAGGGCCGTACTTCCTAGCTGTGTGAGGTAATTAAGAGAAATGGCAATAACCTGTATTGTTTTGAACGCTCTCTTGGCACTTCAGTTTTTGTTAGATACTCTGTGGCTCCTGGGAGAGCATTATCACTCCTATGTAGGATAACTCTATCTCAAAAAGAATATATATATATATATATATATATATATATATATATATATATATGTCTTTCAAGACATGGTTTCTCTGTATATCCCTGGCTGTCCTGGAACTTGCTCTGTAGACCAAGCTGGCCTCAAACTCACAGAAATCCACCTGCCTCTGCCTCCTGAGTGCTGGGATTAAAGGCATGTGCCACCACCGCCCAGCATATAATGTATTTTTAAGTAAGCTTATAAAATAATGTGTTTCCCTATGGCTTTTTCAAACATCCTTAGTGTTCTTTATCTCTCCTTTCTCTCTCTCCCTCTGTATTACCCTTCCTTACTGCACTCAAATTAAGCCCCTTCCCAGTTTTCTCCATTCACCCTTCCTTAGCACCTGTGCTGTACTATCCCTCCCTCCTAGTACTTCTCCTCCCTTCCTCGATGGTCATTTTTTTTTCTCTTTCTTGGCTTTTTGTTACTCAAGTTATATATGCAACTCTGAAGATTCAGAACTAGGAACAAGAATTAAAAGAGAGCATGCAGTATTTGTCTCTCTGCTTCTGGGTTACCTCACTCAGTATATTTTCCAGTTCCATCCATTTCCCTGCAAATTTCATGATTTCATTTTTCTTTTCAGCTGAATAGAATTTTATATCTATTATTAGACAAGAGAAGAAATCAAGTTATCAGCTTTTTTTAAAAGATTTATTTATTTATTATGTATACAGAAGAGGGCGCCAGATCTCATTACAGATGGTTGTGAGCCTCCATGTGGTTGCTGGGAATTGAACTCAGGACCTCTGGAAGAGCAGTCAGTGCTCTTAACCTCTGAGCCATCTCTCCAGCCCGTTATCAGCTTTTTAACACAGACCAAATTTATCATTTAAAAAAAAACTCCATTCAAATGATCATTCAAAGAAGAATTTAAACACACACACACATATGTGTGTAAAGGGAAGGAAAATGTTGTTCAAATTTTAGATTGTCTTTTAATAAAAAAAAAAACCCAGAGCCAGATATTGGGGTGAAAGCTGAAAGATCAAAGAAGCAGAGTAAGCCACAGCCAACCTCACCTCACCAACTCCTCAACTGATCCTGTTTCCACAAATCCTCTGACTGAAAGCCTGTGAGTCCTCACTCGAAAGGGTCTCAGCTGACTGCTTTAGTTCCTGTTTCCTCACCCCTTATACCTTTCTCCACCCTGCTGTCACTTCCTGGGATTAAAGGCGTGTGTGCTTCCCAGTACTGGGATTAAAGGTGTGTGCCACCACTGCCTGGCCCTGTTCCCATGTGGCCTCGAACTCACAAAGATCCAGACAGATCTCTGCCTCCCAAGTGATAGGACTAAAGGTGTATGCCACCACTGTCTGGCCTCTATGATTAATCTAGTGGCTGGCTCTGTCCTCTGATCCTCAGGCAAGCTTTATTCAGGTACACAATATATCACCACAGGAAAAAGTATGACTAATGAAAGGACTGAAGAAATAGCACCTAAAATATATTTTCACTCACTGTTTTGACTCCATTTCTCCCACTCTTAACTGTTCTGACCATAAATAGATAGATAGATAGATAGATAGATAGATAGATAGATAGATAAATAAGTAGATTTAAAACTGGAGTTCGCTGGGTGGCAGTGGCACATGCCTTTAATCCCAGCACTCGGGAGGCAGAGCCAGGCGGATCTCTGTGAGTTCGAGACCAGCCTGGTGTACAGAGCGAGATCCAGGACAGGCACCAAAACTACACAGAGAAATAGTGTCTTGAAAAAGAAAAAAGAAAAAAAACCCTTAAAACTGGAGTTCTGCTTTTCTTAGCATCAAGCACACACAGATGGTGATGATACAGACAGATAGGTCCCATTTGTGTGATGATGTTTTAAACAGGAGTGATACATAACTCATGGTAAACCTGCAAGGGATGAGCTAGATGCAGTATGTGGGAAAATCTCTGGAGACTAGAACTAGTCTCAACTCTGCTGCTTTTAGTACAGTATTCAATGAATCATAAGCTGGTTGACATTTTATTGTAAACAGGCTTTTTATTAGGTGACTTTTGCTCAATGATAGGTTAACCTAAGTATTCTAAGGATAGATAAAATAGGTGTCTTACTTACAGTTTCCATTGCTGTGACAAAGTACCATGACCAAAATCAACTTATGGATGAAAGGATTCATTTTATCTTATAGCTTGTCGTGCCTCACTGACGAAAGTTAGAACATGAACCTGGAGGCAGGAGCTGATGCAGAGGCCATGGAGGGGTGCTGCTTACTGGCGTGCTCCTCATAATTTGCTCAGCCTGCTTTCTTATAGCACCCAGGACCACCAGCCCAGTGGCAGGATCATCAGCCCAGGGATGGCACCACCCACAATGACCTGGGTCCTTCCCTGTCAATCACTAATTAAGAAAATGACCTACAGGCTTGTCTACTGCCCTAGCCTATGTAGGTATTTTCTCAATTGAGAGTCCTTCTTCCCAAATGACTCTAGCTTATATCAAGTTGACATAAAACTATCCAGCACAGTAAGTCAGGCAGGCTAAGCTACGAGATTCAGTAAGTTAGATGTCTTAGAATAATTTTCTTTCCCTTTTTTCCTTTTCACACTGCCCTTAAACTCACTATGTAGCTGTGGATGATCTTTAATATCAACCCCTCCTGATCCCACCTCCTAGGTTCTGAGATTGGAGCATGCAGCACCATTCCCAGTTTTATGTGGTGCTGGGGCATACATTTTACCAGTTGACCTAGGTCCCCAGTACAGCACTTTCAGTTTAAAGATCTTTTCAACAGTGGCTTAATTGGGATATAACTTCATCATCACTTGAGGGACATCTGTAATAACTTCCTAATTTATCAGCTTTTAAGTTTATAACAGCATGTTAGATTTATCTCATATTATTTGACTTGTTGGGTCTTTTAAAGGTTATTTCTATATTTGTTAAATGAATGATGTTTAAAAGAATATTACATTATTGTGTGAAGGATTTGTGCTCATGAATGCCATGGCATGCGTGGGAGTCGGTTCTCTCCTTCCCCGATAGGGGGCCTGGGGAGCAAACTCAGGTTTTCAGGCTTGGCAGCAAGCACCTTTAACCACTGAACCATCTCAATGGCCTATGAATTCTTAATTACTAAAGATTTAAGAGAAGGAAACTAGCAGAGGATGGAATTTAATCCTCTTTTCCATCCTTCATCTTACAATTCTGGTTTTCTAAAATACCATTGTTGACTTGTTCAAAATACAATGCTGTGAAAAATTAACTAGACAACACATTTTAAAATATCACTGATCTCTCTCTCTCTCTCTCTCTCTCTCTCTCTCTCTCTCTCTCTCTCTCTCGTTTTTTTCTCTCCACAGTGACTGTTTTGAGCCCAGCAGAAAAAGGTAAGTGTATATTATGAACTGTGTTGGTTAGGAATGTATCATGTATCCTTTTCTTTTTCAAAAAGTAAATTATAAAAAGTCTATAAGCTGAGCAACTTTACAAAAAGTATGCTTGGTTCATTAGAACATTTAGGGAGATTTTTTTAAAAGGAAATTTACTCAGAAGTAGGTCAAATCATATTTTCAGTGGCCCTTTTAACTATAAGATAGCAATTAGAAATTATCAAGATTCATGGTGACATGGACGTAGGTAATCACATTATCTTCCATAGTGACACCTAAGCTCTCTTGTTCTGCCATTATTGTCCTAGCTACCTGGTCTTCTTCCCAACCCACACCCTCTTTTAGATATAGAGTAAGGGTCCCACAGGACTTGACCATCACAGTTCCTATATGTTCTTGTGTTCCTCTCAACAGATCATTACCATCTTAGCTTGACCTACAATTTTTTGAAAACACTGAGGTACTTCGAATTTAAAATATGTAAGCTAATCATGAGTCTCCATTAACAATTAGCTTTACATTATTTTATCAGTAAGATCCAGAGTATATAGAGTGTGCTTTATAGTGTCACTTTTAATTCTCATTTTATGGGAGTTCATTTTCGAATTCATTGACCTTCCCAGCATTCAGAATCTGCTGTGTTACTGTTCTGCTTTGCTATTGCTCATTTAACATGGATAACAGAGCAGTAGGAATGGGAGACAATGGCCAATAGTACTTCAAAGTGTGGGCTCTAGAGCCAGATTGAATTTACAGCTCAGCTCTTTTTTTTTCTAATAAAATATTTTACCCTCATCCTATTATTTGCATACATAATAGAAACAATAATACTACCTAATTTGTGAAGATGTTATGAAGACAGTTTAATTGCACATAAAGCAGTTAGAACAAAGGTGAATAGAGCACATCCTAAAAGCTCAATAAACATGTACTGTTATTGTGACAGCAATAGAGCAAGTCTTAAGTTGCCATTTATTCTTATGTATGGTTCTTAAAGTCAGAAATCATCCTGTATAAATACTAAATAATTATAAATATTTCCTGTTACAAACTTTCAAGATCAGCTGGATGGGGACTTAAGTGATATTCTACCATTAGAGGCATAATAACAATGTTCTTATTATTCCAAATAATAATAATAACTTATTGTGTTGGGTATCCTGCTAATACAAAAATGTATAATTTTATTGTCTCTTCTGATTCTAGGAGTCCTAAGCTCTTTTCTCATGACAATTCTTGAATTTATCCGCACAGTAAGCAATGATATTAGATTTTGCTTCTACAGTCTGTAATGGGATGTAGTGGAATTTAGGAGACAGAAGGTATAGGTTGGAGATCTAGCTGTGTCGTTTGCTAGCTCTGTGACCTTCATCAGGTAACTCACCTTCTTTGAACTTTAATTTCTATAAAAAATAACAGCCCTTTGACATCGCAAGGCTCTTCTGTAAGCTAATAAATATTTGTAGCTAGTTTGCTTTGTTAGGAATCCTGACATAAAAAAGTAACAATAGAGATGTTAACACCCAACAAAGCAGACTTGCTACAGACAGTAAGCTAATGACTATCTGAGGTTCCTAATAACTGTGAATTTGTGATTTGTGTCCAACAACATTGAATCTTTAAAGCAGACTAAAATAAGTAACATGACTGTCAGAAGGAAATGAAATCTCCAAATCACATGACTTTTCATTGTCTCCAAAATTTAAGAAAACTATAGTCAAACATACTGGAAAAGGTTTCTGTTTTTGTCTACTTTATGGCTCCTATACTGGGTCAAATAGCCTTCCACCAAATTTCATGGCCACCTGAAACATTGGGATGTGTCCCTCTTTGTAACAGGATTTGGGGGCATGTATGTGATTATGTCAAGGTGAAGTCATACAAGATTAGACTGAGCGTCAGTAACTTGTGTTCTAAAGGAAATTTGGATATGTAGATAGCGTCAGTAACTTGTGTTCTAAAGGAAATTTGGATATGTAGATAGAGAAAAGAGCCTCGGGTAGGAGGAAGGGTGGTCCTGGTGCCTCGAATGAGTACTGCAGATTACCTGCAACCAAAGGAAGCTAGGGAAAAGCAGGGAAGGATTTGGGGCTGGAGTTTTGAGCGAGAGTATACTCCAGAACTGTGAGGGAATACATTTCTGTTTTGTAAAGCACCCAGGTTTAGTTTCCTAAAGTCCCAGGAAAGTAATAGAGTGCCTGGTAAATTTCAAACTTCAAAATTCTCTTAACAGTGCTTTAGAAATTGGGAGAGTTGTAACAGTAACAGCTAAGTAAGACCTATCTGGGATTAGTTGACTTTGCCACTTACCATATGTATGACTTGGGGAAATTAAGCTAAGTTTCACTTTCCTCCTTCGTAAAATGGAGATAACACTTACCTTCTGTGGATATTTTGAGCAAATATTTTAGCATAGTGCTCGGTACACGATAAATATAAGTAGTAGTAGGTACTATTACCATCTGATGATAATAATTGCTGGTACTAACATTAGAAAGAAACTGAAAGGTTCTTCTAAGAAGTATGACATATTCCAGATCTATAATTTGTCCTGATTACACTTGTGAATAGATGGTCAAAGTTCATGTATTCATATTGAAGGATAGTTGAGATCCAAAGAAATCAAATAATTTTACTTGGTCATATTGATTCTTTTTTTTTTTTTTTTTTTTTTTTTTGGTTTTTCGAGACAGAGTTTCTCTGTGTAGCTTTGCGCCTTTCCTGGGACTCACTTGGTAGCCCAGGCTGGCCTCGAACTCACAGAGGTCCGCCTGGCTCTGCCTTCCGAGTGCTGGGATTAAAGGCGTGCGCCACCACCGCCCGGCTGATTCTTATAAAAAAAGAATAGAGGCTAAAGTCCGGGTCGTCTGAAGTGCATATTACAATGTACTGTATCTAACTTTGGTGATTCAGGACTGCAAAAAAAATTTAAAGGCATGACACCCTATCTTCTTTTATACTAAAATATGATAATAATATGTTTATTTTGCTCTTGTAAGTATATTATGAAGATGATCTTCCTCAGCATGATACTATGTTAAAGATCTTGATTGCAGAAATTTTCTCTTTGTTGACCTTGCAATGAGGATTGTCTCAGTTAGGGTTCCTATTGCTTCAAATAAACACCATGACCAAAAAGCAAGTTGGGGAGAAAAGAGTTTATTTGGCTTGCATTTCCACAGCACTGTTGTTCATCACTGAAGGAAGTCAGGACAGGAACTCAAACAAGGCAGGACCCTGGAGGCAGAAGTTGATGCAGAGCCCATGGAGGGGTGCTGCTTACTGGCTTGCTCCTCGTGGCTTGCTCAGCCTGCTTTCTTATAGAACCCAGGACCAAGAGCCCAGGGATGACTCCATCCACCATTGCCTGCCCGCCACCTCTCCATCAATCACTAATTGAGAAAAAGTCCTAAGATAGATCCTGTGGAGGCATTTCCTCAACTGAGGCTCCTTCCTCTCTGATAACTCCAGCTTGTGTCAAGTTGACACACAAAACTAGCCAGTATAAGGATCAGGGATAAGCTAACAACTGGAAATTTAATAAGAACCAGGAATGAGGTGAGGCTAAAAATAAACTTAAGAATGACATGGGCATCAGACATGATCCATCATTCAGTCCAAATATAATTAAGAGTAATACAGTGCTCACAGTTGCTCATCTTCCCAAAAGGCCATTAATCATTGTAAACAAAAGTTCAGCTCATCCTCTGCAGATTCATTAGATTTTTGATGGTTTACATTCTAAATTCTCTGGGTTCTTCCTTAAAGTTAAATGATTGTAATTACTTACCTTCTCAGAAATTGATGTACTTTATAAATATTAAAGCTATTATGAACTTGAGCCCCCCCAAAATTGATAGGTGGTGTCTAGCTCCCTGTACTCCAGAATGTAACTTTATTTGGAGTAATTAAGTTCAAATGAAATCACTGGAGTGGGCTCCAATTCAGTATGATTGGTGTCCTCAAGACAGAAGGGAGTTTGGATACAGATGGGTATAGAAGGAAGACCGTATTAAAGACAGGAAGAAGATGGCTGTGTACATGCCAAGGAAGAGGCCTGAGACAAAAGCAACACCCTTGATTCCTTATCTTGGCTAGTCTCCAGGATTGTGAGAAAACAAATTTCTATTGTTTAAGGCACTTAGTCTATAGTAAGTACTTTATTGTGGCCTAAAAAGAAAAAACTGATACAAGAACTTAATCATATGTCTTGAAAATCCAGAGTATGGAAATACCTGCTTTGTGTCAGCTTCCACACTTATGCTAACCTTAATTTACAGCTGATATATTAAAAATATGCCAGGATTGTAAGAGAGAGCTAAGAGAAAAGACCCTCTGCTACAGTAAGAGCTTTTATGGTCTTTTTCAGATTGTATAGGAAATCTTCAGTATGATTTTGAGCAATTATCTCTGTGCTATTCATCTTTTCTTTATTGTTTAATGTTTTAACTACTTATTCAAGACAGTCTTGGTATGTAGCCCCTGTTGCCCTGGAATGTACAATCCTCCTGTCTCGGCCTCTCAAGTGTTAAGATCTTCAGTTATAAACCACCACACCCAGCAAACTGCATTTCTTTATGGCATTGAGGATTAAACCCAGGACATGATAGGAAAGAAGTCTGCCACTGAACTATGTCCCCAGTCAGTGATTTTTTTTTTTTTGAAACAGGACTTCTCTGTGTGACAGCTCTGGCTGTCCTGGAACTCCCTCTGTAGACCAGGCTGGCCTTGAACTCATTAAGATTCACCTACTTCTGCCTCCCCAGTGCTGGGATTAAAGGCGTGCACCACCACTGCGAAGCCAGTGTTCTTAATGATGCATGATTTTTTAAAAAGGCAGACTATGTATCTGCTCAATGCTTGATAGCTGTAATATATAAGAAATACTTTTAAAGAAGAATAGCCCCAAATAAAATCAATTTGAAAATGGGAAATAGATCTAAATAGACATTTTCCCAAAGAAGACAGCCAAATGGTCAGTGGATACATTTTATAAA